GCTGGTCTCAAGCAAATCACAATGATCCTCTTGCTTCAGCCAACCGAGTGGTGGGATTACAGGTGTGGGCCACCATGCCCGGCTTTTAAGTTCAATTTTAAATAATGTTTATTTGTTCTCAGCAGGTTTGTTTTCTTTTCTTTCTTTCTTTTTTCACTTTTATATATTGAGGACAGGGTCTACAGGGTCTCACCTCACAGGTCAGACTCCTAGTGATCCTCCTGGTTTAAGCCTCCCGAGGCTGGGATTACAGTCTAGCGTGACCATGCCCAGTCTGAGTCCCCTTCTCAGTATGCCCATGGTTGGGGCCACCATGGTCTGAACAGGTTTTCAGGCATAGATTTCTTGGGGGGTTTTGGTACTGGGAATCAAACTCCGGACCTTGTGCTTGCCAGGCAGGCCCCTATGGCACTGAGCTATATCCCAGAACGCATAGGTTTTGTTTTGTTTCAGAACCAGGGATTGAACTCAGGCCCTTGCACTTGCCAGGGAAGCATTTATTGTACTGAGCCATCTCCCTGGCCCAAGGCATATGTTTTAAATGACCTGTACTTAGACAAGGAAGGCATCCAGCCGATAAGCTGTACCCTCAGGTGGGACTCAGAACAGGAAGGAAACAAGTTAGCTACAGAGGCTTCAGCAGACCCTCTAGGCCACCACCCTAGGGAAGGAAGGAGAAAAGACCTAAGCCCTGATGTTTTAGCAAAATCAAAAAAAGTGTGCCCATGGGCCTTACCTGGTCTCCTCCTGGCTGGTTCCCCAAATAATGTTGCTAATTAACTCCTTCTAGAAGCAGCTTGCCAAATAAAGGTCACTGGGTTGTGTGGTCCTATTCTCACCTTTTGGAGTTGGTTGCTAAATTTTTCTCATCTTGAAAGAAGAATTAAGTGAAGTGAGAGGAAAAGTAACAAAGTTTATTTGAAAATGTAGAACTGAATACAGAAGGTGAAATTGGGTCTGTATGGGAGGTTGAGCAGGGTGAAAGAGCAAAGAGCCAGGGATAAGGACACCAGGGAGAGCGCTGGCTGAGTCACACTGAGGAAACCCAGGAGAACTTCTACATCCGGGTCCTGATTGGAGATGCCTGCATCCCATGCCTCAGGCTGATGTTAGGGATCAGTCATTGTGCTGACAGCCTGCTGCAGGTCTTGCGAGAAGTCCAGGTACAGGATTTTGGGAACTGCTCTGGGCATGTGCTCCAGGATTTGGTAATTAACAGGCCCTGCCTACTTCCTGGCCAGCTTCCCCTCACCCTAATCTCCTAAGTCACCCCCACAGAGAACGCACAGGACATGGAACAATAAGAGGACCTGTCCTGGGTGGGACAGTCCTGTCCTCCTGGGGCTCTCAAATGTACCTGCCTCACATGATACCAAAAGGCCGCTTCATTTCCCCTCATGGTGACTGAGATGCTTTGTGTCCCCATCCAGAAAGCCAGTACTTGATAATCATTGCATGCTACACAGTAGTGAGGTAGGGTCAAAGAGAGAAAGCTGCGTAAAACGAAAGCACAGAAAGTCATAACCTTAAAATGGTATTTTTAAAACTTAAAAAAAAAAAAGCAAAATTTTACTTTTAGGAAAAAACTTGTACCTGCTGAACAAAACTTATTCACATCTTTTTGCTTTCCAAAAAACTCCAAAATAACATTAGTGGGACATGCGCATGCATATGTATGAGTGTGTGTGTGTGTGTGTGTGTGTGTGTGTGTGTGTGTGTTTGAAACAGGCTCTTGCCATGCAGTTCAGGCTGGCTTAAGGCTCACTTAAGGCTCACTTTGTAGCCCAGGCTGGTGTCAAACTCACAACGACCTTATCCTCCTGCCTCAGCCTCCCAAGTGCTGGGATTACAGGCCTTCACAATCATACCGGATGAAAAACAATTTTCTAAGAGTGTAAAAGACACAGTAAGCTGGGCCAGTGCTTTCCACCTGTGGGCACTGCCATGACCTTTCCTCCTGTTGGGTAGGCCTGGGCCTGGGCCTGACCAGCACCACCGACCTGCGGGAAGGCCCCTACCTGGCTCCTATAAATTGAACTTTCTCTTTCCATAGATTTGCACCCCTCCAAACTATAGAAATAGGTCTGGGGAGCCAGCTCGGGGCCTGAGTGACAAGTTAAGGACCCAAGCTTGATCCCCTGTATTGCATGCCGGCCCGGAACCCTTCCCACACCGTGCTGGCCCAAAACCGGGCATGGTGGCATATGCCTGTAATTCCAGCCCTAGGGAGGCTGAGACAGGAGTATCATACAAGTCCAAGCTGTTTTACTTCTCCCTAAGGGCCTACATTCTATCCTGAGATTGTATGTTTAAAATTTTGACCAGGGCCACAGAGATAGCTCAGCGATCTAAGGGCTGCCTAGGCTACCACAAGGCCAGGGTTCAATCCCTGATACCACATGCCACACTGGCCCAACTCCCAAGCCAGCCACCAAGACCAGGACTGATGATGGCACAGGCCTGTCATCTCAGCACTGGAGAGGCTGAGACAGGAGGATTGCTACAAGTTTGAGGCCAGCCTGGGTCAGTTGGAGTTTAAGGCCAGCTTGAATTACAGACCAGAATCCTGTCTCATTAAATAAATAAATAAATAAATAAATAAGGAGGGGAGAGGGGACCCAGAAGGAGCAGGTCAATGTGCACAGAAAGGAAACCACAGGGACAGCAGGCCTGCCTACGTGTTCGAGCTGAGCACTGGCTCCTCTAATTCCTTCTTAGAAATGTCAGAAAATCTTGGCAGTCAACAGTTTATTGGAAATATACTGAGAAGAAAGGAGGCCAGCACCTGAGTCAGTCCATCTGTAAAAACTCTGAGTCTCCTCCTCTCCACCCACCCAGCTGGGAAGGGGACTCCCACCATTTCTGCGCCTCTCCACACACCAAAGGTGGGACTCAGGACAACAGAAGGAAAGAGTAGGAAAGGTTTGCTGAGTGAAAGCCCCTAACAGAGGGGAGCAGGTGTGTAAAGAGAGTTGCCACAACTGAACTTCCTGGTCAAGCATATTTTCTACAGCAGAGTCACAAGCTGGCCAGCTGTGGAGCAAACTACAATCCGCCTGGAGGATTACAGTGCAGCTACTTAACTAGTGCTGGCCCGAGAGGGAATCCAGCGGGTAGCACAGGTAGGCACGCGCACCTCGTGACCTCAGCCTATCTGTAACTTCCAACTAGAAAGAACAAAGGCATTGCTGTGAAGAGAGCAAGGGCAGCCTCGTGTGCTGCTCACCATCCCCAGGCCTGAGGCCTGTCTGGGCCCACAGGACAGGGCAGTGCTAATTCCAGTACAAGCCCAGCTGCTGTTTGTGTCCAGGGAGTGCTGAAGGCCTGGCCCTCTTCAGATCCACTCCAGCCCCACTCTTTGTGGGTCTCCTGCTCTGTACTGATGCCCTAGAGGGTCCCACCCCTCTCTGCCTGCCCAGTAACTTCTGTCTCATCCAGCTGTCTAGAGTCCCATTCCCCTCCCCTGCTGGGTTTCCCAATTTGAATATTTTCTCACATACCATATCGTTTACTTCTTCAGCCCTGTTCATCATGGCTCTTGTAACTTACAGTGTTAATGCTTATTCTCTAATAAAACCATGTCATTCTTTTCCACATTTGTAGAGAAGAGTGGAGGTAGCAGGATGATTTATTCTTTATTTATTATAGTCCTGAGAATAGAACCCATGGCCTTCACACTGAACCACAGCCCCTGCCTTTTATTTTTTTATTTTAATGTTTTTATTTTTCTTTAGGTAGCATTTCTAAATTGCTAGCTTGCTCAGGTTACTAGCCATAGTCTTAAATCTGCCATCCTCCTGCCCCAGCCTCCCAGAGTGTGGGATGACCAACACGTGCCCCTGCATTCCAGGAAAAATTCTATTTTTGTATTTCCAACATTATCAATTGTTTGTTGTTGTTGTTTTTGCTGACTCATCCTGCCCTGAGGACGGGGCTGGCAAAGCATGTGGTGCCAGGCATTGGGATGGAACCCAACTATGGTCCCCTGCGCCTGCCTGAGCTTGCCTAAAGAGGCAATTAAGACCCCTGAGCTATCTTGCCTGCCCATCAAATTTCATTCTTATGTCCGCTGTTTATCCCATCTCTCCACATAGAAGGTACATTCCTAGTGGACAGTGATCTATACCAGGGTCTATTGGTTGATACTTAAAATGACATGGCGCACTTCATACATTCTTACCGGGCAGAACTAAGGCACAGTCTAAAAGCGAGTGTTCTTGAGGAAAATGGCAGAGTTCAAATCCTAATTCTGCTATCTATACCTGTGTAACCCTGGGCAAGTCATTTGGCCTCTGGTCCCGGGATTTCTGGTTGACACAAAGGAGACAGTGCAGGGCCTGTGATATGAGGTTACTGGTTTCCACCAGTTACCAGGGTGGCCTTCGCAGGACGGGAGTCGTTGCTGAGCATGTCACACCTCACTGTGCAACCCTTATTCTGGGCAGGCAGAGATCCAGAGTCTCAGAGGCTGGATGGCCCCTGGAGATGGTAAGGAGGTGTGGTTTGGAGAGGCGGAAGTCACCAAGACGGAAGGAGCCACGCGGAAAGAGCCAAGGCACATGGTGTTAATGGTCCCGCTATGGAGAGGTCGGAGCAGGGCACGCGGGGAGACCAAAGGTGACCAAGAGTCGGGGCGGGTCGCTTCCAGTCCAGAGCTAGGGAGCTCGGGTTGGGGGAAGGCAGTGATCGCGGGGATGGGCCAGGGATCCGGCCGCCAGAGCTGGCGCCAGTAGAAGAGGGGGAAGGCAGCCTGTACCGAGTTCAGCGCGTGTTGGGGTGTCCTCGGGCGGCGCACTGAGGCTGCCGGCCCCTGACGCCACACCCCCAATACCCCCATTCCCTCAGCCACAGCCAATGCTGGGCCTGGCCGGAGGACCAAGGGCACCTCGGCCCGGAAGAGCGGGACCGCCCTGTTCTCTCGCCACAGACCCAGCCGCAGCCCAGGAACGGGCTGAGCCTGAGCCTGCTGCCGCCTGAGCTTCTCCTGGCCGTGCTGAGCCGCTTGCCCCCGCGCGTGCTGCTCAAGCGCTGCCGCCATGTGTGCCGCACCTGGAGGTCCCTGGTGGACAGCAAGGCCCTGTGGCTGCTGATGCTGGCCCGGGACCACAGCGCGTCCGGCCGCGCCCTGCTGGCGCTCGTCCGCAGCTGCCTGCCCCCTGCCGGCGACGCCACACCCGGCCCTCTCATCCCCTTCTGCTCGCTCAGACCTGTTGGACGAAACCTCATCCGCAACCCCTGTGGACAAGGTCAGGAGTCCGGATTGGAGCAGAGGTCTGGGACCAACCGGAGAGGTGCAGGCGTAGGAACCATCCGGGAAATAGGGAAGAAGAAAGAAGCTTTAAGAAGAAACCTGGGGGCCAGTGGAATAAGCGCTTCCCTGGCAAGCACAAGGGCCTGAGTTCAATTCCCGGTTCCGCAAAAAAAAAAAAAAAAAAAAAAAAAAAGAAGAAGAAGAAAACTGGGGGGGCGGAGTCAGACTGCATACTGACCAATCGGGGAGTCTGTGGGAGGTGTGTGTTTGCAGAGCGGCTGCTGAAAAGGCGGATAGTGTGGGGTCAGCCCTTCTGGGGGGCAGGGCAAGGGGGAGGAGTCAAAACTAGGCAAGAGAAAGAAGCCAATCAGGGACTGCAGGCTGGGGCGATTAATCCTCTGGGAAGGGCGGAACTACAGGGAGCTCTCAGTAGGCTACTGGATCTTCTTTTTTTTAACCAACTGGATCTTCATCGCAGTTCTGTTTTGTTCGACAGAAGGCCTCCAGAAGTGGAGTTTCCAACACAGTGGGGATGGCTGGGTTGTGGAGAATAACTTGATACCAGTGCCTGGGGCGCCTTCTCAGACCTGCTTTGTCACCTCATACCGGTAAAAGCTCCTGATCCCAAATGGCCAGGTATGTTGTTGAGAAAAGATCAGCTTGTTCTCATTGCCCATCTCCCACGTTGCTAGTTGGTGTTCAAAGAAGCAGATCCTGAACCTGGAGGCCGAGGGCCTGTGGCCAGAACTGCTGGACAGTGGCAAGATTGACATCTGTGTCTCAGACTGGTCAGTGTGATTGTATGTCGCACGCGCTTTGCGAGGATGAACCAGCTTAGGGCTCCTCCTACAAGGTCATGGGGGTGGGGAGACTTAACCAGGGACACAGCTCTAGCACTTAGGAGAGACCTATCTGAAACCCCTGACGTCCTTCCCAAGGGATATGGGGGATCAGACAGCAGGCTGGATCCAGGACAGAGGTCTTGAATGCAGCTCAGTCTGTCTGAATGAGACGACCCGTGCCTAAAGGCGAAACACGCAATGCACAGAGGACTTAGATTCTGGAGCCAGACCTTCCAGGTTGGACCCTTAGACCTGCAGTTTTAGAGCCCTCAGGTAAGCAAAGTGCTTTATAAGTGAACTCATCTTTTTTGAACCTTGATGACATGCAAAAGGAGAGAGTTTAAGCCCTCAAATTATTCAGAACTTTATAGGAAACAGGTCCAAAGAGAGAAGGTGACTTGCCTTGATCACACAGCCAGGGCAGGACCTTGGCAGCACCTCGTGGGGTTTTTCTGACCCCAGAGTGCATGGTCTTAAACAGAGGCACGTGAGGACTCTCTCAGGGGCACAGGACCTAATTTTAAGGGAGCCAAATCCAAGATCCTCTATGACTGTGTGCTCCCTGTTCTGAAATTACTCTGCTACAGATCTTATGCATGGTTCCATAGTTCTCCTTTCCCATCTCTTTCTCAGATCCCCCTTTTTCAGCTTCATGAGGGAAAAGACCCCCAATATGGTGCGTGGTGCCCACATGTAAAAGGGGAATCCAAGCCCAGTGACCATTTGAATTTTCAGCCACAACATATTCACTGTATGCAATGCACCATTAGCCTTCCCTATTCTACCTAAGAGATGCATTCCCAATAAACCTGTTGAGTTTCACTGGTGTCATCACTGTGTGTGGCATATCTGTGCTCTTCTAGTACAGATCTGTTGTCTTTGCTTATAAGAATCCTCAATTCTGCATATCTCCCATGGAGCTTTCAAACTCCTAATGTCCAGACCATGCTGTATCCTCATGAAATCTGAGTGTCTGAAGATGAAAGCCGGGTGTCAGTGTCTGTGAGCATTCAGAGCCAACTCTAGAGTTAGGAAGCACAGTCCCCAAGACCCGCCTCACTTCTGACACAGATGGCAAGTTGGTGGAACTCCCAGAGCCACTCCCACACACAATTTCTCACTAGAAGGGCTTGCAAAAGCCATTATACACTTCGAGTTTATTTCAGTGCAATGCAAGGTACAAATTAAATGGAGCTAAGAATGCCAGGTGTGGTGCACACGCCTGTAAGCCCAGCACTCTTGGGAGGCTGAGGCAGGAATATCGCTGTGAGTTGGAGGCCAACCTGGGCTACACAATGGCATCCTGTGTCAAACAAAATAAAAATCAGTGAAGAAAAGAAGCACCCAAGGCAGTGTCCAGGAGAGGGACCAGAGCAGAGTCCCCATGGACCCCTTCCTGGAGAGAATGTTCTCATCCTGGCATGAATGTGACAGGAGTTATGCAGTATCACCAACCAGGGACACTCGCCTGCACCCTGCGCAAGGCTTTTATTGGGACATCACCTAGGGTGTGATGCATCACTTGCTGGTGTGGTCAGTCTCAGCCTCCAGGTCAGCTGGCCTGGAGTCAAAGCCCCCTCCCAAGGGCCCACGTTTGGTTTTCAGGAGTAGTGTGCTGCCTTTGCCCCCAGGCTACCTATGTGGCTGTGCTGGGCCCTGCCCTCAGTCCACCTGGCAGGCTACCTGGTCTTGCCATCCTTACCAGACAAATACATTTGGGTCAGATATGACATGAGGACCTGGCTTTACATACCCGGGAAGGCCTTATCTCTTATAAAGAGAGAGGGACAGGCAGACACCCAAAGAGATAAGGTGGCAAGTCAAGTCCATGAGGATTCATTCCTCCCACAGGTGGGGAACCCGACATGAGTGTGGCGGTAGGTACAAACTCCTTGTACAACTTCTAGATGCCAACAAGACCATCCTACACGAATTCTCTGACATGCGTGTCACCATTGCACACCCGAACAGCATGTACTTTCAGGTGAGTCTCGGAGGAGAGGGTGAGTGGTGGGAGGGCCTGAGATGATTAGCCCTTTCTATGAAACAAGTCATCCCAAGATTTAGAGACTTGAAGTTAATAACCCTCAGGCAGGTATGGTGACATATGTCTATAATCCCTACTGCTGAAGAGGCTGAGGTTGGAGGATTGCAGTTATGAGGGCATCGTTGGCCACTTAATGAGACCTTGTCTCAAAATGAAAAATATATGCTGTGCTGGGTGCCAACACCACCCCTATCCGAGAGAGGGGCAGCTGAGATGGGTGATTGAGACTAGGCATGGTAGGACACCTTTAGTCCCAGCTCTTGGGATGCTGAAAACAGGAGGATCACTATGAGCTGGATCTGTGCAGTGAGACCCTGTAGAGCCTGTAGTAAGTACATGAAAAAAAAAAAAAAAAGAAGAAGAAGAAGAAATATAAGTAGGATGGGAGAAATGAGAATGACAGGTAGAATATCTCTGGGTTGAACCACAATACTGGAAAAAAAAAAAAAAAAAAGAATCAACGGCAATTCTGTGATTAGCTCTGGTGTCTTCTGACCCAGCGGGTGGGTGGAAAGAGCCCAGCTGAGCAATCTGGCTCCAGTCTCTTGTATTCAGACAATGGCATCCAGATGATGGCTGGAGTCCCAGTGCAGGGTAGTTGTAGGGATAGTCTCTGGCACCTGGCAAAATATCACTGTCCCTGTTTAGTCTCAGAACTCTTACAAGTGACCCCCTAGGCTTGGGCCAGTTGGTTGTATTACACTATGGTGTCCACAGGACAGCCAGCCTGCTTGTGTGGTGGCAGAAAGGCTTCACTGCCTTTTCCGACCTTCCTTAGGAAGTCACTTGGCTAAAGCTACTCACTTCCACCACATTCGTGGTGATAAGCTCGCCCACTCACAAGAGGAAAGGAATTAGACCCAGCTCTTAATGGGGCAGCAGGGAGATGCTAGAACATGTGCAGTGGAGAGGAGATGGCTGCCATCCTGGGAAAATGCGATCTGCCTGAAGCTCCCTCAGCTATGGAGCACAGGACTGTGACACCACAGGGCTGACCCCTTCTTGTACCTACAGGTCACCCACGTCTTCTCCAACATCAAGGTGGGCGTCCGTTTTGTGTCTTTTGAACACGCAGGTAAGGACACGTTGTTCTGGGCCGGCTACTATGGAACCCGCATGACCAACTCCAGCGTGACCGTGCGAGTCAGCCAGCCCTAGTCAAGGGTGCTCTTCCTGCAAGCCCGCCTGGCTGTGCCTTCCAGGAGCCAGAGCCATTGGCCGGGACCCCTCACTAAGCAAATGTTTGTTCCTCAATCACACACTGGGGACTCCAGTCTTCAGGCTCTGCAACTACTGAAAAAGGGGCTTCCATCGGATCTACCCGCTGCTAAGATGCTCCACTTAGCCAAGACCCCCAGTGTGCATGGGGCATGCTGGTCCTGGAGAGGGCATCTTACCTGCCCTCATCCCTCCCAGCATCCCTTGCCACAGCCCAAGTCCCTCTGCCTGAGCCTGAGGTTGGCCTCATCCGTTTCTGCTTCACACACTCTCCTGGTGCCTTCAGAGAAGCCTCCACTTACCACTAAACTTAGCTTGGTCACCTTTAACTACCAAGTTCTAGCCACGCCATGTAATGAACTCCACCTCCTGGGGCTTCCTAGCCTTCCCTAGCGAGGACTGAGGAGCTCTTCAGGCCCAGCCTGATCCTGGAGAACTTCTATAATGCACAATATTTTAAAATATTTTGTTTTTCATTTTGATATTTTTTTTCAAACAGCCAATAATCTGTCAGTATCATGCATCTACTGATTATGTGCAATACATTTCTAATTTTGGCAAAGTTACTTCAGATCTTTGTAATATATGTCCACTGCTACTACCTTTGTTATTACTTGGTTCAGAGGGATAAAATGTGAAGGGAAAACTGCAGAAGAAAACAACTGCTGAGCACGGATAGAGGGGACGGAGAGTTGCAGTAACGCTGCCCAAGGCCTGGGGAAGTCACTGATGCAGGCAGGCTTGTCCGGCACGGCGCATGCAGGAGGTGGATGTCATGGCCCAAAGGAGGGACATGGTGTCCAGGTGCGACTGCATTTGCACCTTCCTAGTGGTGAGGGTGACGCGGAGCCATGCGGGGCAGCCCCAGCCCCCAGAGATGGCTGCTAGCCTCGGTGCTGGGGGAAAGGACACGTTCAGTTCTCCCGCGGCTCGGAGGTGCTCCCTGTCTACCTGCTCTCAAGCGGATCGCGCCTCCAGCCCCACCTTCCAGTGTAGACGCCCTCAGAACTGATGGCGAGGGCGCTGTGTCCTGACAAACCCGCCACACACTGAAAACGTCCAGAGTCAGAATCGCATGAGCAAGGTGTGGGGGCACACACCAGTAATCCAGGCACTCAGGAGGCTGAGGCAGGAGGATTACAGAGACTTTGAGGCCAGGCTGAACTACATAGGAAAACCTTTTTAATAATAATAATAATAATAATAATAATAATAATAATAATAATACAAGAAGAAGGAGGAGGAAGAGGCATAGCAACCCGGGTATGGATCACACACCTGTAATCCCAGCACTCTGGGAGGCTGAGACAGGAGGATCAGAAGCTCATGGCCAGTGTGGGCACCTTTGTGAATTGGTGAGATCCTGTTTCAAAATTTTAAAAAATTTAGCAAAACGATCTGGGGGTGTAGCTCAGTACAAAGGTGTGGATTCTGTTCTCGGTACTACTAAAAAAAAAAAGGAAAATGACAATGTGAAGTGTATCTGCAGGCCCTGACCAGACATACTGTGGATAAATGGTTCTGCCCTAGGGGACATTCTGGGGTCCACTAGGGAAGTACAGGGCTTTTTGTTTTGCTTTTTGTAGGGTTTTCTGTTTTTGTGTTTTATATTTATTTTTTTTAAGAGTAACTCACAATGTAGTTCAGACTGGTTGTGAACTCACTGTGCAGCCCAGGTGGGCCTTGAACTTGCAGTGATCCTCCTGCCTCAGCCTCCCAAGTCCTAGGATTACGGTGTGCACTAGCTCACCTGGCTTCTTCACCTTTTTTCTGCGTATAATTGAATGCCTGCTCAACCCACTAGACACTCCTGTGTTATATAGTGGGACATTGCACAATTCTAGAATCACAAACAAAAGCCAATGAAGGAAGAAGAGGCAAGAATGACTCCCAGACCAACCATCCACATGCCACCATATCCAGCGCCTGTGTCTGTCACCACAATACCGAAGTGAAGAGCAGAAGGGGATACTGAAGTTGACAACGCCAAGGCAAAGGATGAACTTTTTCTAGAAAGATCCTCAAGTTTGCCCGAGAGACCAATTCTTCCAAAGCCAGAGCCCATGCCTTCAAGTCCTCTACAAAGAAGGGAGAGAAGATAGCTAAGGGGAAAGGCCCAAGCTGATACTGGAAGGAGACGATAGCCATGCTAAGTGGAGAGGCCCAGCCAGGTCCCCTCAGAAGCTGAGGGGACTGGAGACACCAAGTATATTGTGCCCTCTTTTTTTTTTTTTTTTTTTTTTTTTGAGGTGAAATCCAGGCTTTATTTTTGAAAAGAAAATTAAATTGGTTTTTGGTGGAGGGTGTGGAAAAGAAGGTGTACCCCAGGCAGTAATGTCCCCTCAAGGGTGGGCTGAGGGCTAAGCTGAGCCTTAGGTAGGTCTCTTGTTTCTGATACTCCCTTGTATAGCTGTCTCCTCACAATGGATTCATTCTCCATCCCTGTTTGCTTGTTGATCTCATCTTCATATTTATTCTTGAAGTCCTTGACCAGCCCCTGCATGTCAGGAGAGGTGCAGGCTGGGAAAGGTTGTTTTGACCCAGTTACTTGGGCAGGACATCAGAGGTCTCAGACACAAGCTTCCCATCTCGGATCTTGATCTTCACAACCACAGCAGACTGGATGCAGGTGAAGCCCGGGCTTTGCAGGCTCCCAAAGCCAAGGCTTGGGGGACTCCCATAATGTGAGCTCACCACTCCTGCATAGCCACTGGTGGGCTTCATGTGGATGCTCTCCAGCACCTTGCAGTATGTGGCAATCATGATATCCAGGGCCAGCTTGACGTTCATGAGCTCCTGATATTCGCAAGCTACCGGGCCATGTCCTGTTGGACTTCTGTAGGGCAGCCTCCAGCTTGGCCAGCTTGGCATTGGCGTCCTTAATAGCCGTCTCCCCACGCTGCTCGGCATCAGTGATGGCAGCCTCCAGGGGTGCTCTCTGGCCTTTGAGGGCCTCAATCTCCACCTGCAGACCGCTGATGCTGCGGTTCATCTCAGAGATCTTGGACTTTATGCGGCCAAGGTCATCCCCGTGCCTCCCAGCCAGAGTCCGCAACTCCTTATACTTGATCTGATATATACTCTCGAGCTTGGCCGGCTGTGGATGGCGATCTCCTTGTACTGGGCCTTGAGCTCGGTGACAATGCCATCCAGGTCGAGGGAGCTGCTGTTGTCCATGGACAGCACCACGGATGTGTCCGAGATCTGAGACCGCAGCTCATGTGTCTCTTCATAAAGCTGCCTGAGGAAGCTGATCTCATCAGTCAGCCCTTCCAGGTATGACTCGAGCTCCATCTCCTTCATGTAAGCTTCATCCACATCCTTCTTGAGGACAAATTCACTCTCCATCTGTATGCTTGTTGATCTCCTCTTCATATTTATTCTTGAAGTCCTCCACCAGCCCCTGTATGTTACCAGGCTCCGCCTCCAGCTTCAGTTTCTCCTGATCCACTGTGTCCAGCTGCCACCAGAGATTGTTGTAGCTTTCAAACGCATTGTCCATGTTACTCCTGGTGTCTGCTGCTGCTGCAGGAAGCTCCACCTGGTCTCCAGCATCTTATTCTGTTGCTCCAGACATCGAACCTTGTTGAAGAAAGCAAACTTGTTGTTGAGGTTCTTGATCTGCTCCTTCTCCTGAATACACATGGCCTGGATGTTGGGGTCCACCTCCAGGTTCAGGGGATTCAGGATATTCTCAGTCACGTGACGGCTGTGATGCTCCCCACACCTCCAGCCCCGCCATCACCACCTAGCTCCGGGCCACCATGGAAGCTGCCGCTGCTGCCCATTCTGGAAAAGCTGGAGGAACTGACGCAACAAGCAGGCCCGCTGATGTGGGAGAGGCTGCTAAAGGACCGGGGGCCGGAGAAGGACACCTTGTAGTAAACCGTGTAGTACTTCTGGGTGACCCTTATGGACATGTTGGAGGCTGGAGTGGAGGCAGGCGAACTGAAGATGGACACTCAAGAAGGAGCCTAGCAACCATTTCTGCATGGTCCCCATTTTTTGATAGTTGTACTTCTGATGACTGTATAGTTTGAAGCATTATTTTTCTCAGATTCTGTAATAATGCAGAAATCTGTTTTACTACTTTAAGCTACATTGTGAGTACACAGAACATTTTGCTCTTTTTTTGGCGGGGAGGTGTATGGGTCACAAATGCAGTGTCTTCAATACTGCGTTGAAATGGGGAAGGCAGCGTTCCTCACTACTTCTGAGAGACGCCCTCCTGACTCCCAGGAGGAGGGATTCCCTGACGTGGACTCATGGGGCCACCTTGGCACAAATGCTGTGTGGGGTAGGACCACAACTGGTTCATTTTATGCCCCCCTCCTTCTCTGCCCTCAGCACAGATTTAAACCCCTCAAGCCCAGACACCTACTGGGACCTGACTCCCAAAGTTGATGTTATCAGTGTGTTGTTGGGAGCTGCTAAAGCAAAAGATTGATCCTATGTGGGAGGGCAGGATAAGGGCTCCTGTCTAAAGCACTCAGGCTACCTCAGCCTTAAAGAAACATCCTGCCTGGACACTGTGGACTATCAGTTGCTAGACAATCTTGTCTTGCAACTTCATAAAGGTATAAATACATGACCGTACTGTTGTTCTGGGGTTTGTCCTGTCAACCAGGCAGATGGGCTAGCACCGGACCCACATCTTGTCCCCTTTTCTGTCTTTTCCTCATTTCTCCATGGGTACAAGAGATCACACTGAGAAGCCAACAGATCCCTACAGTGTGTCAGGTCATGTGGACTTCCAGGTGACACTGAGATGGAGTCCCACAAGAGCTATAATTTCCTTTTCTAGATTGTGGATCTTCACATCGATGAATCTGCCATCCTCATTTCATGTCCTGAAAGTCAGGGTTGGCCTGTAGCAAGTTGTAAAACAACATACTAAAGGTGAAATGTCAGCCCTTCTTCTGAACGTTCCCTACAAAAATAAATACATAAATAAAAATGAATGAATGAGCTTCCCCTACTCCATGAAATGGAGAGGCCACTGGATTTTGTAGTGGGTTCCTGAGTTTTGGTGGTCCACGTAAGAAGCGAGTTTGAAAGTTGTTGTGTACTATTAAGGACTGTGTGCCCACGTCCTGCCCGAAATACTATGAGTGTTTACCGTGAAAAATGGTGCATTTGAGATCAGCCCAGCAGGATTTTCTGTTAGGAACCAGAATGGTTGATTCCATCTGGGTGCAGAGGGGCAGAGCTGGGGAAGGATGTCAACCCTCGGGCAGGGCAGAGGCAGAGTTTTATAGGACTTCAGAAGGTGTTGTTATCCTGAGGAATTCAGGGGGTGGAATGGATGTGCCCCAGCGCCTCAGGACTGTTGATGCATGAAGGCAGGTATCACGGGCTCTTCAGGGACCTAGAGCTTGAACATCTCATCTGGGTCTTTATGGCCTCCTGCTCTCCCCTGGGTAGGCGTGATATTTATGCGGG